CTCCAACCGGTTGCGTTGTCGACACAAGGCCAATGCCGCTTCGTCAGCACGTAGCAATCTCTGGGCAGACTCCATTTCGTCCCATAGAAGCTTCTCGTCAGCTACGAGCTTTGCTCTACGTCGCTCAACCCTCATTTGCTTTTGAGCGGCAAGTATTTCGGCCTTTCGGTCTTCAATCTGCTGCTTTAAGGCATCAAGACGAGCGGTTCTCTCCTCGATACTTTTCGTAAATGACTCGGCTTCATCAGAATGTGACAGCGAGACTGCCGCCAAAGTAGCTATTGTCTTGCTTTCATTCGGAGCAGGCTCAGCGTGATCTGGTTCCACCTTTGACGAGCTCTGGGGATTCGTAACTTGTTCATATTGAAGTTGAGCCGCTACCTTGGCAAGCGCTTCCGTTAGTTCTTCCTCTTTCGCACCCATCTCTTCAGTAGGCACCACAATCTCTGTAATTGTAAGCTCAGTTATCGGTGCGTCAGGTCTGTTGCCTGCCTCGTCATCAAGTGGGGCGTCATTTGTAAGCGATTCAGACGCACTGTCGAAAGCTTCTTCCGAGTAAACATCTTCGTCATAATGGCCAGACTTCTTCGGCGTATGATTTTCTTCGGCTATGGAAGCATCTTCGCTCCCAGACTTAGGAAGGCTGTCAGGAACAGACGAAACTTCGTCAAATGATTCATTCTCGTACTCGCTCTCGTAGTCGTTTACGTAGTCAGCGTCACTTTCAGCTTCTTGCTCGTTAACAACGCCGTCCTCTTGTTCACCAACATCACCTGTGACTACATCCTCATTGATATCGGATTGCTGACTAGGAGCTTCAGATACAACCTCTGAGATTGCACCCTCTTCAATCCACTTTATCAGGTTTGTACGCTTCCACTTCGTCAGTCTCGTCGCTAGCTACTGACGTTTTATGATCGTCATTATGTGCTTCATCAAAGGACTCGGCGTCGTACTCGTCGTTGTCTAATTCTTCACCCACTGCAGATATGTCCATAGCGCTCTTGCCGAATAGTTTACTCATCACTGACGGTGTTTGTACAACATCTTCACGCTCCTGCGTAGGAGCTACATTTTCGCTGACTTGTAGTATCGGATACGTCTCTTGCAGCGCTCCAAACTCACTAGCTAGCTGCTGGGAAATGTCGTCTTTTGCACGACGCAATTCGCCCTCCACATCCACTCCAAGCGCCCGTTTCGCAAAGAGATCCACCTGTCTCTTCTCTTCTTCATGACGAAATGCCGCTTTTTGCTGACTTAAAAGTCGATCTTTCGCCTGAATCAATTCCTCGGCTTTCGCTTTCTTTTTGGCTAGTTTGCTTTCTTCAAAGCGAGCGGTGTATGTCGCACCTGCCGCCTCTTGTAGAGCTGCAACCTCGGCGACTAACAGCTTCGTCATGGACGAATCCTCGGAGCTTGATTGACCCACTGGAACGTCTGAATGTTCTTCATGGATAGACCTCATTCGAGGCAGCGTAGACCCTTCCAAGTGCCCACTTTCAAATTCATCAACCGAGTAGTTTTCTTCCTCCGCTTCGGCAATTTCATCACCGTGCCCTTCATCTCCAGAAGTACGAGATTCATGTGTACTCTCAGCAATGTCACTACCGCTCGAGACCTTCTCAACGTCACTTACTTTCTCGTCTTCGTCGTTGTCCGCTTTAATCTCCGGCTCGTCTACGATCGAGTTGCTAGCTAAGTCACTCTCTTTCATAAGAATATTCTCGCTGGCAGACGCAAAGTCTTCATCGTACTCGTTACCACTGGATGCGCTGTCTTGATTGTCTTCTTTCCCCTTTTCTGCAAGCTTAGTACTCTCATCCACTTCAGCTTCGACAACACTCTTTTGGGTAGAGAAATCTTCGCTCACAGACACGAATCCATCGTCATCATATTGATCTTCTTCGTGAGCTGAAACCAGCTCTTCGTCATCACTTTCTCGCTCAAAATCTTCTTCATCATGTACTTTCGAGGTATCAGACACATCGCTGCATTCTTCCGCACTCCCATCTACGTCTAAACGCTCTGACACTATAGATCTTGACCCTGTTTCGGCGCTGTTGTCATCACGCTTCTCGTGAACGTGATCCTCATCTATATCCTGACTCATTTGACGGACATTTTCTTTCATTTTTGGTGAGGACGCCTCAAAGTCCTCGTCATTGTCCACTGATACAGACGCCGACCCATCTTCTTCACCGTTTACGGGATCTTCATCGTCACTAATCGATACCACAACGCTCACAGCTGCGCTTTCTTCCGCAAAACTTTCTTCATATGCGACGCTGTTCGCTACACTCACCTCGTCGTAGTCAGCATCGGCTTCATCAGACAGCTCGGATTCAATTTCACTTTCCCTCTCACTCTCACTCCTTGGGGTACTATGAGTCAGCGATTCTGCTACAGAGGGGTCGGTAGAGATGTCGGTTCTATCGCGAACCAGCTGCTCCACTTGTCCTTGGCTCTGGGTTTCAAAAGTCTCGTCGTAAACTTCCTCGTCTTCTTCACTAGCATATCCCAACTCGTGATTCGATGCAGCTACCGAAGCTTCTTCCAACTTTTGCTCTACAGTTTCGCTTTGAACTGCAGCGTCGACAGCAAATCGAATCGGTGACGTCGACGTATCAACGCACAGAGCTGCAGAGGTAGCGGCGTACACAGGATATCGAATCGGGGACGTCGATGTATCCACACAGAGCACTGCAGAGGTAGCAGCATCTGCTCGTTGCGAGGATTCCGTCTGCACGCTGCATTCTCTCAGATTGGCCACTCTCAGCTCTTGCTCCAGTCGCGCCTCAGTTGCAACTCGCTCCTGCTCTTCCACTTGTCGAATTGTATCCAATTGCTGCATCACGTCTTGCATGTCGCCGTCAAACTTTTTCTCCAACGTAACATGATCCAACGCGAGTTGGTGAGACGTTGCGTTGTTCTCCATCTCTTCTTTAAACGCCTGAGCTAGCGTGATGGTTTCTGCTTGCACTGTCTCCAGTTCGTGCGCGTGTTCCATCATGGACAACTGGATATGTGCCTCGAGGATTGCTTCTTGGTAGTCCACAGCGGCCATCAGTCTCTTGGACAAAGTCCTGGGCGAATGCACACGAGGTGAGCTGTCAGCATTGTGCTCGTCCTCGTCGCGAGGACGAGATTCTCGCTGGGCAAGGAGCTCCGAGTCGTCAATTTCAACGTGAGGCCGACTCTGATCCGGATGCTCATCGACAGTCTCTGCGACCAATTGGTCCCAGAAGGTGGACGAGGGCGAGACGGGCATTCCGTCTTGACGCCGTACGTTAGTTCTGGTGTCTGTGAATCGCTGGAGCTTTACCTCTTCCTTGCTATGAAGTTCATCTGTCTGGACTGTCGGTTCATTCTCGTCGGTCTCTTGCGCTCGCTCTTTCTCAACTTCAGCCATGATTTCCTCTAGTCGTTGATACTGGGAGGATTGCAGTTCGCTCTCGTCTCCACTGGACTGCGCACCAACGGCACTTTCGATCGCTGTTTTGCCAGTTATGGAAGCCATCACAGTCTTAAGCGTTAGATCTTTCTCAAGTAACTTCTTCTTTTCGGCTTCCATTCGTTCTTGCAACTCATTATCTCTCTCGCGTTCTGATCGCTCAAGCTGTTCGTGGTAAAGTTTCTTAGCGGCTCGATCGATGACGCTCAACGAGTCGTCAGTCTCACGAATAAGTCGCATCAAGCCGGCGCTGGAGTCGCGAGGTTTACTACTCGTCTTACGTCCTTGTTTGACACTTTGGTCTGTTGTGAAAAACTTCCTTTGTACCGCAAAACTCGCCAGATCTGACTGTTCATCTGAATTCGAGTCACCCTCTTCCATATCTCTTCTATCGTGTAAAGGTGGCGCTTCTTTCGTCTCGTCATCGTTAGAAGCGTAAGAAGCATTCAGTTTATTCTTCAGCTGCTGATAGAACGTCACTTCAAAGGCTCCTTCGTTGTCTTCCAGTTGGTTAGCGCGACTTTCAAGCCATTCATCTGCTTGCGCAATCGCTGGAGAAGCTGCCGAAGACAGGGAACTTGATAAACTCGATGAAGATATTGCAGTCATTTGGTTCTCAGACAAACTGTGGGCTGTTCCATCGTTTTGTTGCTGGATTGGCCACACAACGCCAATGCTGTGAACACCGATGGAGCGAATATCGATATCATCTCCATCATTGACGCTGTACATACCAGAAGAATCTGGAGCGTTGACAGACACCCGATTATATTGTACGTCTTGCCTGCTTTGCGTTACACTCTTTGAATCTGCTTCATCATGGCCCCATTCACTTCCTTGTTTGTCGTTAATACCACACTCGTGCTGCTGTTCGTATTCCTGTTCAGTGCCACGCTCGTGCGTGGAGTCTTGTTCAGAACGACTCTCATCGTCGACTAGTGATTTTGTTCTTGGTGGTTGGATTTCTTCGTCAGCGAACGCAGCCTTTCCCGTTTCACCAGTGAAAGTCTGTTCCACAATCTCCTTCGGAGACTCCATCGTTGCGTCCGTTCTATTCCGTAATCCATTCAATCGAGCAGTAAGCGCTGCTGCCTTTTCTCTCAGCTCCAGTAGTTTTCGAATGCGTCCATCGGCTTCACTCTTTTGACTTGACTCTTGTTCTGACATGGGGTCAGTTCTACGTTTATCACCAAAACTTTCCAATCCAGTGTCGCCATTCGACGAATGCTCGTAATTCCCAATAGCTTGGTTGTTTTCGTCGTTCACTTGCGGTTCATCAAACGCCAACTCCTTCTCGCTTCGGCTAGTTTCTGACTGGGACCTTGACTTTGGGTGCGTATCAACACTGATGTCTGGTATACTACTCCGGCCAATAGCTACAGCCCTCTCTGAAGAATCATCTATAGCCATTGGGTCATCCAGCTCGTATTTCTTGCGATCCATCGGCCTCTTCTTCGACGCGCGTAAGTTCCTTAGCCGCGTGGCCTCTAAAATCTAACGTCAGATAGCTCAGTCAGTGGAATATGCTTCTCACGTCGACAATTTAACATTAAACCAGGTGAACTTCTCTTACCTCGAGTTGTTGTTGTCGTTTTTCTTGCTCTCGCTGAGCTTGCTGCTTTGCCTTCGCATTCCAAATCCGCCGACTGTGTTGTTGAAGTTGCATATACTCTCGAGCTATTGCTCGTCGCTCTTCTTTAGCACGCACGGCTGCTTCATTCTCTGTAGTCTGTGCTGTAGCTCCCTGTTTCTTCTTCTTCGAAGAACGCGGTGTCGTGGACGGAGGTTTTCTTTTCACAGCATGATGTTCGACAGCTGAATTATTATCCACTTGATCAACTTCAGCTGAGTTTCCCTGCTGAATAGCTAAACCTGACGTCGATCCCATCAAGATGGACGCACTCACATCTCCTTGAGGACGAGGACCTTCATCTCTAGTCTTCTTTTTCCGCTTTATTTGATGTGGCTTCGTTGAACGACTTAAACGTGGCACGGGTGGCTTCCGTTCAGGAAAACTTGGTGCACTCTCGGAGCGTCGACCAGATTTTACGCGTCGCTCTCTCATTTCTGGAGAATGCGCCGCTCTCGCTCGAACAGCTCTCTGGTTTTGCAGACGAATCGCCTCGGACATTTTTTGGAGCTGCAGCTTGCGTTGTCGTAGCTCTTCTTGACGTCTCTGCTCCTCGCCCTGATGTTCGCGTAGATCCGATGCAGCTGCGAGAACACGCTCGCGTTCCACCTTTTTACGCTTCTTCTGCCCACTGACCGTATTGTGGCTGTGTAACAAGTGCAACTGGACCATGTCGATCGATGGATCTTCGTAAATATGGTCAATCGACGAGTCCACACGCCTCCAGGATGACTCGACATGGCGCTTCTCGTTTAATGATAAACGTTTAGGCTTAGAGGATGGTAACGCGCGCTTATGTGATGTTCTGGATTGCTCTGGGTTCATGCGAGAGCGTGGAGATGAACTAGTTGTCGTAGTCGTGTGTGGGTGTGAAGCCACGTGATACGGTGTGCGTATAGCTCCCTCTAGATCGGACGTCTCTCGCCGCTGTGTGAACAATGCCAGCTCTCTCGCAGTGAATGAACTTTGCAGCTTAGTGAGCGAGGGCATACTTGACACGAATGTACCAGCTCCAGCACTTGGTAATACTAGCGCTGTTCGATCAGAACGAGTGTTCTCTGAGTAGAGCTTCGGTGCTATCACTTCCGGTACAGCCGCTGACACCTCCGCCTTCTCTTCTTCAGTTGACAATAAGGCTGCCTCAGATGAGAAATGATGCTCCTGAATTGATAACTCCACCTCGCTGGATTGCTGCATTTTCGTGATACTTGTAGCCACTTGCTCACGTACATTCGACGTTTCCTCCAAAAGTTGTCCACCGTGTCCGAGCGCAGCACCCTCATCAGATCTGGATAGTTCTGTTCGTGAAGGCTTTACCTCTGCTGAACGAGTTACGGGTGTTGAACAGTTGCGAATCTGAGGAGAGCGAGCACTTAGATGAGGCCCAGTGACCTTTTTCACTAGGAAACCAGAGCTGGAAGAGTCCTCTGATACTCGAATTACAGTCTTTAAGATCGACAAACACACAGTTTTAAACACCAGCAACAAAAACTAAGATGTTGTAGAGCTGTTCCGCACCTTTGAAAGCTCTTCTTTGCGTCGAAATGGACTTCTTGGATGTGCCTTTTATTCCAAACAACCACGCACAGTTATTTTGACAATCTCACTAAAGCGCTACAGAGACTAAAAAAAACTAACTTCTAAGGTCATACGAGGTGACAAAGTAGCTGCGGCAGCTGCAGATGCAGCTCGACTGGAGGTCACAGAAGAGAATACAGCAGGCACAGGTCTCCCGGAACCCCCCACTCGGACTTTCCCCATCTCCAGAGGCACCTGTCGCCCAGAAAACGTGCCCGAACGGCGCACGGTGGCAGCATCTCGACGCCCACGACCTTCCATGTCGATTGACACAAAGCGTTAATTCGCTCCAAAGGTCACAACCTTGGCACATGCCGACCCTTAAATCACGCACTGTACCTCGAGCGGGCACGTTCATCAAAATAGTAGTGGTTTAGCCCAATAGAATCGCTCACATTTTATTCCACGACGGAGAAATACGGACTTTAGGCAGATTTTTGTTTAATTTCCAAGATAAAACAACAAAAATAGCAAAGTGGACTTTTTTAAGAGGGCAATGTGCTCCCTCATACAAATACAGTATTTTGCCTCTATGAGGCAGCTATAAATCTAATAACCTTTGGCTCACAATTTATTTTTAGGTGCATGATTAAAAACCTTTACTACCAAAATACCTTAAAAAATATCCTTATTCATGCAAAATACTGTAGGTCCCACGCAGCACTTTTACGCTACTATTCGTAAAAATACGTTACAGGTACTGTATTATTCGGTCTGGCCAATACAGTAGCATTTCGGTAATCCGTGAAGCCTTTTGGATAATGTGATTTTATCCTCACAAAAATAGAGGTAGTGAAGGCTCGAAACGCCGTCTACGAGTTTATCTACAGGAACAACGCGAAAGCTTTGATGGCTCAGGCGCACTATAAAATTTGGTCACTTAAACAGCACGGAGCACTTTCCGTAGTGGACATATTTCCATTTCGGGCCATCCCTCTCACATACAAATTAAAGTTAAATGTAAGGAAGGTCCATCGAATTATTATTGTACCGTCGTCTGCCGTCATGTTCGTGGGTCGCAAGGCGTTCTACGAGATCGCAGCGGCGAATATTGTGGGAATACTTACTGTCCGCATGGCACGTGGAGATCTTGAGGTGATTTGAGGGGTGTTTGGCTATAATATCTCATTGCATATTCATTCTTGAAATTTGAAGCTTTGGCCCGTGAGACTACATTCAAAAACCTTTAATTAGGTGCCACGCTCGTTATCACTATCTCGTAATCCGACACAAGATAATACGCTCGAAACCGGTCCCCAGACACCGCGTGTCTCGCTTTTGTACTCGCCAAAATAGTTGTACCAAACTTTGGCTTCGGTTTACTCCTAGACGATGGTGACTTTCCATATACGATAGTTAGATATAAGGGGTAGCTTTCGCCGTAGAACCCGATTCAGCGGTCAGATATGCCTAATTTGAATTACTCTTATGTAAAATGTAGCTAGGAAAATGGATCACAGAAGCTTTACTTTTTGGGGGAAAGTGCTCAATAAGGGTTGGCAAATCATCGGACCAATTACAAGGCATTTTTATTGGCTCATTGGTAAAACATACGCCAGAGCTAACAGTGTTTAGGTTAGCATGGGGAAAGACTGACACGAAGAGCGACAGACTAAACTGATCAAGTTTGCACTACAAATCCCACTTGGACTATCAGTAGAATATTTTAAAGGCTCTAATCTTCGCTGTCGGCCGGATCGCTGTCTTCGCTTTCTTCTTCTTCGTCTGCACATATGACCCCATCGTATTTGAGAGCTTGCAAATACTTGATCTCTTCTTTCTGTATGCTCCTTTAAGCTTCCTGCGACACTTCCGACACGATCCGGCCCTTGTACGCCTCTACGTTTCTCACAAACGCTCTTCGCTGGATTGCGACCGATCCAACCCTTCATGTTTCCTATTATCAGCTTTGTAGGCTGCAATTCGGGGTGATATGGATGAATATACAAGTCTTTCCGACATACACAAAGGCAAGATTGTGCATATGTGATTAATAGATAATCATATATTACCATTTAACTTAATTTAGCCAATTATATCGCCGAGGAGCAGGTTCTTCATTCCGACAACCCTGACATTTGTCTGAGGGAAGCTAAAGCTAAATAGTTAGGAACCAATACTGAATTTAAGTCGTGTGAGGAATATGTAAATAGATTCCGACAATGCGGTATGCCTCCTAGCTCAGGTTAGCATTGAGCTGTAGTGTAGCGGTACACTCAACCGGTCATGTCCAGTAAAAAAAAGCAGAAGAGACAAACAGTAACCAGCATGAGCATCTCCGCACGTAGGACAATTGTCGAAAGGTGGCAAAGATGCTTGCGCAAGCAAACGCGGTCTTTCCTTAGAGAGTGCGATCTCTCACAGCAGCCAAAACCCTTTTAGTTTCGTCGGTAGCGATGCTTCGTACCCAAACGCCGTCTGAATAGCAGCACAACTTGCACAATATTCGTTTGATAGCGCTATAGAATTGACTTTACTGGATCTGTAAAGCGTGATATCACACGCATCAGCTTCATCCCGAGCGTTTTCATGGTAAAAATGACTCGCGTGACGAATAAATGTCCCCTGTCTAGCCGGCGGAGGGCTGCGAGGCAGAATCAGAATGTTCTCAGGCTCCTAAGATTGTCGGCTAGCCGTCGGTGCAACCACCACCTATCTGGGAGGTTTGTGGTGTTCTCATTATACAAGAGGCTTCTGCAGCAATGGCTGCCATCGTTCAAATGAATTTTGGCTCGGTACGTCATGATCGGCATGGAAAGCCAATGCAAAGAGAACCAACGCGAAAAGCTACGGCACAACCGTCAGGAATGGCTATTACTAACTCGGGTGATTATCCAAAGAGCACGGTCGGTAATTACAGGGGACACATGTAGCTCACCCCATCCCTCTATATGACAGTCGCGATGTTTTAGCAATACCAGCTTGCGTTCGTGACACTGTACTTGCCTATCAGCCATTAGAAGGATTCACGATACTGCGTAAAGGGTCAAGCGAGCGCTCGGTAATTTTTAGATACGGAGTTCGTCTTCAGACAGAGGACAACGGCACCCTCATACCAGTCTGTGTCTGTCTAGATACCAAAGCCTGCAGTGACACGTTCACTTTGATTCCACAAAGCAAGGGGTCCACTTTCAAAGCAACACTTCCCTCAAGTGCGGTGCACAATGTTACGTCTTATAAACAATTGTGGAGACTACTCATAAGCGTTCACGTGACAAAGAAGTGGCCAGAAACTTGACTTCCTCACTATGTTGAGCCGCTGCGATTCAAACCACAAAGCCAGTTGCTTCACAGCAAATCGTAAGCAATAAACTATCATTCTACTTCGGTGAATACCACAGGTTGCACATCATTCCAGATATATTTGTGCTAAGGCTGATTTTTAACGCCTGGGAGCTCGCATCTGGTCGTACACTCGATTCTAGAGCGTTTTTGAGCCGGGACGCATGAGGGGATCAGCTATATCTGAGGCAACCGTGTTGGAAGAGTGCGTCGCTTTATAGCAGGCGCTGATTTCCTGCGCTTGAAGCATCAAAGGGAGAAGTATCCGTGTATTCAACGGCTTCACTATTGATGCTGAGTATAGCTTGAAATAGATATTGCTCGGTGTGTGTGTGTTTTTTTTTTTTTCATTTTCGCGTGAGCGTGACTCGGGTATTCGCAGGTCCTTCATCGGTAAATTAAGATCGGCCTAGGTGACTTCAATTTGACCATCGAAGATCTGTTTGGAAATATTACGGACATCCCTGGCTGATGGCAGAAGGGCTTGGGCTGCAATGGGAGTGGTGCATACCACATTACAACAATCACTTGGTGATACCCCCTCCACGTTCTGCGCATTCATGTGTGCATCATCGACAGAATCAAAAGAATAATGCGACAAAGCACAGAATGTCTTGCTAGCTCGGGAGACGTGAGTTCGCTAAACGCTTCAGAAAGCACAGTAGCAGATCAACCATCGAGTACTGTGACCCCCATATCAAGCGACGACGTGATGACTTCATATACAATTCACCAGCCTCCCCCTCCTATGTGCACACAAAATGCGCACCAGAATCGGATTGATGAAGAAATCGAGCGCTGGTTTAAAGATC